TGGATTGGACCCTGGAATGGGATGGAGGTCATTCCTGCTATGAAGACATTATTAAAACATTTGGCAAACTTTGAAAGTGTACTGTGTGTTAGATTATAGTCTCGTATCAACGTTAACTTTCTTGCATTGGGCCCTTGCATTGTAGCCTATAAGATAATGTCCCTATTTTTAAAAAATACATATTCAGATTTAAAAGGGGAACGGCAATTCAATTCACCTAAAATTCACTCTCAAATGCTTTAGAAAAAATACTATAGACAGAGAGATATGAGGCATATGTGACTAAATGTTAACAACTGGTGAATCGGACAGACGGGCATGTAAGTTATTGGTGCAATTTGTGACTCTTCTGTTTGAAACTACAACTTTAGCAATAAACTAAAATTGTTTGCAGGAATGTAATAAGATGAAACCTACCATAGCATCACCTCTTCGCTTTTCAGCTATCCAGGTAAATGTCCATCACAGGATTGCTGACTGGGCCTGGCTCACTGTTGTCTCCACAGTGCTCTTTGCAGAGTGTCTGTGCAATAAATATTTGTGGCATGCAGAAAGAAATGGTGATGACTGCAAGGAAACTGTCTGATACCACCCTTCCTTTTCTTCCTCTGGAAGTACAGAAACACAACTTACCCAGAATCTGAGAAAGAGTTTTGCTCTGAGCAAGTTCTGTCAATCATTTCATGACATCATGCCAGCCTCACTGATCAGATGGTCTTGGTATTATGCCTTGGAAGAGCTTCCCAGAAGTTCATTCCAGAAGATGTTGTATCTCAAGACTATCTGTATGTGTTGGAACAAACCAATGACCAACTCCATCCAAAGTCATAATGAGGAGCCCTACACTTTGGTGGTGGCCTCAGGATCTCCTTTTCAATTGTCACCAACCATCCCTTGACATTGGAGGGCACATACCAAGAGCATTTATGTTACATGGATGAAGACCAGGACCATGGGTCTGAAACTTCTTAGAATGCATATAACTGACACTTCATAAACTTCAATGGCTTTACATTGGGAAATTAACCTGAGGATTAAAAAAGCAAGGAGGGGGAAAACAGTATAACCATGACCTACATGAAGGTATGACTGCACAAGCCCAGTAGCCAAGCTAATTTCGGTATCATCTGAGGAGACAACAGCATGGAGTGGAAAGGTAGAGATTTTTGAAGTCAGCCAGATTTTGGTTCAAATTCTGATACCCTCTTGGACAACCTGTGTGATTTTTGGTGAGCCACATAATTTCTCTGAGGGCTGGTTCCATTCACTTAGTAGTAATAATAATAATAATAATACCTTCTTTATATTAGAATGTTGGGGTGAGGACACGAGTGCCAACTACCTTGAAGCCTTGGTTCATTAAATGGTGGTTCTTATGACCTCCACCAATGGCGTGTAGACACCATGTCAGAGAGGGGATTTTCATCACGTTTCTCCCACTGACACAGAGCTCCCTAGTGGCCTGGTGATCACAAATGCAGCCTTATCTCAGACAGTGGAGCCTTTGAAAGGAACAGAATTAGAGTAAGGTCTGTCCTTTCACGATGGGGCACAAAGAAGCCATTAGTCAGCTCGGCACATATGTGCTCTGTGAACCAGCCCTCCACACTCAGAGGTCCCTGGAGGCAGATGCTGAGCTGAAGTCCAAGGGGGAGCTGAAAGCAGTGTCTCTACCTGGGCCCTGTCATCTGTGCAGTGACCCGGAGCCTTCAGGGAATCAATTATTGCCCCCTCGAGTCGATTCCGCTGTCGAAATAGGATTAGAGATTGCCCGGGTCTATTTCGAACAAATTTTCAGAATGTCCAGGAGCGTAGCAAGATTTGGAGTCAAGAGGAGAGGTTGCTGTCTAGACTGTGTGCGTTATTAGACGCATGTTGAAGGAAAAAGTCTAGAAATCTAATAACCTTGCTATCCTTCTGTCTGCCGATATTTAACCTGTTTCTTTCTTCGTGGGGTAGGGAGGAACATTGCTTGCTTTGTGGCTAAATAGGCCAAGGTTTAAATTCTGGTTCTGCCAGGTATGGATCACATGAATTTGGGGGTTACTTAATACCCCAGAACTCGTTCTGTTTACTCATCTATAAATAGTAATATCCACTTTGGCAACAGTGACTCAGTGAGTGAATGCATGCTGAAGGTCCTTCCGCCTAGTGGTGTTACTCAATAAATCTTAGTTCCTTTAGATCCTGAATATTACAGAGAAACCTTTTCTTTCAGCTGAATGCCAAGATGGCATCGGCTATTTGAACACACACCAATGGAAAACACCAGTGTGACCTGTGTACACGCTTGTCGTCCCCTAGGGAACGGATAGGAAGGAATCGACACCCACAGCCATTGCCTCTGTCCAAATGGCTGCGGCTCCCCACAGGAGCCGGCCGTGAACTGCTGCTGCTCCCAATGCACTTTCTGGGAATTCTCGTGGCTGGCTCTGCAGACCTCAGCCTCCACATGGAACCTGGGCATCAGCCAATATCCAAGCTCCAGCCTTAAGTGAGATCAACCTCCACGTGTCAGGCACCTGTCTTTGGGGAAATGGAGTTTTCTCCTGCTGGTGTGTAGTGTCAGGTTCTGACATTTCTAAGCTCGGTGTCTGTGAAGCTACACCATTCTTCAATTTGTACCTATTGTCTCAAAGCAATTAGCACCTTCCTTCATCCTCGGAGGTGACCTAGTTTGGATGATGAATAATATGGTCACTATAAGACTCATAGGACTGCCAGTGAGAGCGAGGCGGCTGGGGACGATTCAGGAGCCATGGAAAGAAATGTAAAAAATAAAATGCTTTAAAGAATTAGACATAGATTTTTAACCGTGAGGAACCAGTCCTATTTAGCTCAAGTAGCTGGTAGTAATGAATCCAAAAGCTGTATCAATATATCTGTTAACAGTGGCCATTTCTAGAAGGGAGGGAATATCTTAGTGCCCGTGAGAGGGCACTGGCATGCTGGTAAATATTTAACAACCAGCTCTCGGGTGGTGGTGCTCTAACTGATGGCATAGCTACTCCTAGGATGGCCAATATTGAGCTATAGATGTGATGTCACTTGAACATAGAAGAAAAGGGATGCACAGAAGTGAGTTCCTGTGAGCTGATTGCCACATGCCAATGGAGAAAGGGGGTTTCCCATGTCATCTGAACACTTTAAGAATGTTTTACTTTTTACTATATTCATGGGTTCACTTTGTAATATACATGGGTGATATATATGTGCACACACATAAACTTATTTACATTGGTTTCAGGATTAGCCCTAAGAGTTGTTTTCCTAATTTTAAAAAATAAATCCGAGTGAAATATCCATCTGACCATATAACACATCCATGTTCTCCTAAACCAGGTTGCTGTGGAGTGTCTTACGACCACCAGGTTAAAGGGGTGGGGCCTCACTTTTCTACTGATGCCCGTGACTTGCCTTGCTGTCCCCGTTTGCTATATCTAAAACATCTGTGTTCAGATAGAAACCAAGTGGGAAATGTGACAGTGCTGTGTTAGAGGATAGAGTGAAATCTAACCTCAGGCAAGGAGGAAAAGATGATGGTTCAGATGATGAGAGAAAAGAAACGGCAACAGGAAGTGGAAAAGTTGCTGTTTCTCAAGTTGGCTTGCTACACTGAGTGTGTCTCGGAAGCTTCTGACAGGAGTGGGAGGGGATGGGAAGAACAGTCCATACTTCCATTTATTGAATGCAGCGTTCGTTGGGCAAATCGCAACCCGATACAGACTGCCCCGCAGAGTAGGGCATCGACTCTCATTCCCATCATTGTAAACACAACATGAATATTGAAGATTCAAGAAAATGGGTAAAAAGTCCAGTGTCTCCTCCACCTGTGTAACCAGTGAAGGTGCCTGCCTACCCTCTGGGCAGGTCCCAAGGAAGCCTGAGGTCTTGACCTCGACCCCACCACAGCGAAGTGGGAATGAACCGAGGAGCCCGCATGCTTGTCTCGAACATCTCCCAACGGGCACGTGCGTCTTCAGCACGAGGCTCACACAGATTACGAAGTTCTTCCAAAGGCCTGAGAGGTTCTTGCCTTTCACATGCACCGAGCCGGTCTCTTTGAAGCCCTTCCCCCAGGAATTAGTCGTTGCCAACAGAAAATGTGACCGGTGGTAAACAGTTGGTATTCCTATGTCTGTCTTAGCCCTGGGACTCTGAAGAAGGGGGTAGTTCAAGGTCACTGGGGCCTCGGTGATGACCCTGGAGAAGGTGGCCCAAGTTCAACTACTGGCTGTGTTCGCCTCCTCCCTATGGGCCACGGTGGATAGAGGGTACGGGTTGAGGCAACTGATATTTCTGTCAGAGCCTCAAAAGGTCGATTTTCTATTTTGGATTCCCATACCAAAACAAACAAAGGAACACTGGCCTCCCTCCCCCACAACAAAAACAAATCAAAACAAGATTGACGTTGAGGACAAAAAACCAAACAACCTTTCCTCCAGGTCCCGCCACCCACAATGTCCCCATTGGGTGACTTATTTATCTTTTGGGGGCAGTTGGTTTCAATCATTGGCTTGCCCTCATCTTGGGTACTCAGCTAGCTGGCAGGACAAGGACGGAAGTTTGACGAACAAAAAGACACTTTTGCCTTTATTTCCTGGGATGGCTGACGCCCAGCACCCTCACTTCCTTTTCTTAGACAGCAAGGAGAACCTTCTATAGACCTCCTTGGTTGTGTGGCTTTGTGGTAGGATAACCCCATGGCTCCCTCTCACCCCTCCGTGTCCCATTCTGGAAGAGACCCTGGGGATGAGCCAGTTTTCCACTTTTTGGGAATGCTGGGTCGTGGGGCAGAGTGGGCCTGGACGGATCCTTGTCCCAGATCTCTGTGGTGTAGGCAGCCTTGTTGGGCCGAAGAGACAAATAAAAACAAACAAACAAACAAAAAACCCCCCAGCATTGCTTCATTTTGAGTTCCAAGGCTGGGCCCCAAACAGCAAGTGGCTCTCCCCTCCCCTGCAGAATGTCTGTCTCTCCCTGGTGGTGGCTTCGTGGTGCTAGCTGTTGTTCTCGGCCGTGAGATATTTGAGGGCGGCAAAGCCATAGCGGCGGGACATGTCCTGCTGGAACTCCTCCTTCAGGGTTTTGAGACAGACGCGGTATTGCTTGTTGGACCGGAACTTGGTGATGTCGAAACTGGGGGCGTGAGGCATGTGGATCATGTAGGCGTTGGGGAGCACGGTGAATTCATATTCCTGGAAGGAGACAAGAGCAGCTTGAGCGCTTGCAAGAACCCTGGGTAACGTGATGGATCCACCTGGATGACGGAGTGACTAAGGGAATGAATGAAGCGAGGAAGGACATGAACAAGGAGGGCAGCACCATGGACAGCACCACCGTGGCATTCCCATGGTGACGGACAAAGTGGTTGGCTTCTCTGAACCTTCGTTTTCTCATCTATAAAATGAAAGTGATAATGCCGGCCTTGGAAGATGAGGAATAATGCTGGCATTGTGCTGGGCAGAGTTCATGGCCCATAAAAGATGCTTGATAAATGTAAGCATGTGCCCGTGCAGTTGTTCTGGAAAGAGAGATTATTCTGCTCAATGAAATGAGGTTTAGGTGATTTCTCACAGGATTTGATGTGATCTGACCCGATAGTCTCAACACACAAAGGAGGGGACAGAGAAGGGACAAAGAAAAACTTCATCAAGAATAAAACTCTCGCCTACATATCTTATTACAAGTCTCACCGCCATATGGTGTCCTCTATGTGACAGGATACAGACAGAAACTCGGGCCAAAAAACAGAAATGTCTCTGAATAGCAAAACAGGTGACAAACATTAAGATATGTCACTCAAAGGAGAACCTGGCACACCTTCACTCAGCATCTATGTATGCTGGTGTTGGGCATAATGCCTAATCAATTTTGGTCATCCAGGGCAGAATAAACTTGGAAAGGGAAAATCCAGATGGAGGAATTCTGACAGCAGCAAGAAATGACAGCTGATGGTGAGAAAGAAGGGAAAAGAGCCCTAGTTGGTTTGGCTCAGTGGATAGAGCATCAGCCTATGGACTGAAGGGTCCTGGGTTCGATTCTGATCAAGGGCACATGTCTGGGTTGCAGGCTCCATCCCCAGTAGGGGTGTGTAGGAGGCAGCTGACCAATGACTCTCTCTCATCACTGACATTTTTCTCCCTGTCCTTTCCTCTCTGAAGTCGATAAAAATATATATTTTAAAAAAAAAAAGAACAGAGGGGAAAGAAAAGGCTTAGTTGCTCGAGACATTTCATGTGAAGACAGAGAGACCTACCAATCCACCTGTCCTTACAGGTGTGGCTGGATTACCTGACACATGTGTACCCGTTATATCCTGAAATTGCTGGAAAGGGCAGTATCATGTTTGGCGTGTGCTACTGGCAAAGAGAGGAAAATAAGCGAGGACGTTTTAATGGTTTTGACTAAATCGCCTAAAACAAACATAGCCCAGATCTCAGTGCTGAAAAATAGGCTTTATTTGAGCCAGCCCCCCCCCCCCACCACCACCACCACGCTGTTGGCTGCGTGAATGCCACATTTATTCTCCTCCAAGCAGAAGCCCAGGCGGACTACACACTTCTGTCTGGGAGCAGCACTGGGCTCCTTCCAAGGATGACGGGACGTGTGGAGACTACAGGTCATGCTTTCCGTTGTTAAATACGGACACTGTTATACAGCCTTCTGTCTATACTAGTGGCTCTCAGACCCAGATGTTGATGGAACATGCCTGGGACTGCTCCCAAACACACTGGACCTGCTGGAGAGGTCTCGGAGTGACTCTGGGGCAGCCGGCACCCAGCACCCATCCTTTCCCCTGAATTTGGGGTGCTCTTGTTGAGAACCATTTCCACTGTGCTCCATGAGGGGGCGCCTTGGAGAACAGCATATGGGGAGAAAAAGGATGGGGTGGAGGGATCCAGGAATCCTCCTGGACTTACCCAGATTCATTTTGCTTTTGTTTGCTTAAAGAGGGTTGACCTACCGCTGTGTCTGGCCCACTACATTGTGTTTCTTTTTTAAAAATAAATGTTTTTATTGACTTTAGAGAGAGGGGAAGGGAGAGGGAGAGTGAGAGAAACACCTATGTGACAAAGAACCATCAATTGGTTGCCTCCTGTATATGCCCAGCTGGGGATCCAACTGGCAACTGGGTATGTGTCCTGACTTGGACTCAAACCAATGACATTTTGGTGAATGGGATGACGCTCAGCCAACTGAACCACCCTGGCCAGGGCTTCACTGAGTGGTGTTTTTATAAATAAAGATTTATTGAACACAGCCATACACATTAGTTCAGACACCGTCTATGACTGAACGACAAGAGCAGAGTTGAGAGCCTAGAACCCATTCCTCCCCTCAAAAAAATTGACTATCTGTTCCTTGACAGAAAAATCGGCAGTCCCTGGTTTGGTTTAACCTATTAGAATCCTGTCAGTGACTGCTGCTGAAGTAGGTGCTCGATAAATATTGATGGAATGCATGGAAGGGTATCATGGGTGACTACAGCCTAAAAATATCACTCTTGGTTATGGGGCGGAATAATCAGCTGGATCTTAGCTGCACGCTGGATGGCATTTATGACTCACAGGCTGTGGGATAGGTCACTGTTTGCTTGCCTATATAGCCGGATTGAGTGAGAAGGAGGGGGTGAGATGGCTTGTCACGAGGCACCCACATTTGTCTGGGTCTTGGCCTGGGACCCAACTCTCACACAAGGGCAGAGAGGAATAATTTGGGAATTGATAGCCCGAGGATAAACACTGCCACATTCTCACTCCACGTCTCTGAGCACATTTCTTTCCCTCCCAGGTTTGCACTCTCTTATCTCTAAAATCTCTCAGCTCGAAGACTTCCCGGCCTCTGGTCCACGCCATTCCTCTCCTCTCACCTGTGCGTCCAGTTCCATGATGTGAGCCACCTTGTTCCAGCCGAAGCCCACAAACCTCCGGTCGTACTCGGGGCAGTCCCGCCTCACCACCACGTATGGCTCGAAATCGGCTTCCCACTCGACCCGGTAAGGCGTGGTGGCGGTCCGCCACTTGGCGAAGTTCGTGGGTGCGTGGCCTTTTGTCCAGACGTGGTACCTGGGACACAGGGAGAAAAGCTGCTGAGCGGGAGGAAGGAAGCTGAGCTCCCCCAGGGCTGCTGGCTGAGAGGAAGAAGAGGTGGATGCTGAGACAGTCCTTGTTGGGGCCTGAACTGTGTCTGCCCCAGAAGACAGGCTCAGTGCCTACCCCAGGACTTGTGGAGGCAGCCTCGTTGGAAACAGGATCTCTGCAGATGTGACCACATTCAGATGAGGTCACCCTGGGTCTGGGTGGTCTCCTTATAATAAAAGGTGAACTGACTACAGGGACCCATAGGGAAGGCGGTCCCAGGAAGACCAAGCAGGACTGAAGTGAGGAACAGCAAGGATGGCCGGCAGCCACCGGAAACAGAAAGAGGCAGTGAAGGACTCTCCTCCGGAGCCTTCCGTGGGAGCAGGAACCTGCCCACACCTGGGTCGGGCACATCTGGCTTCCAGATCTGAAAGCAAATTTCCATGGTTTTGAGCCACCCAGTGTGTAGTATTTTGTTACGACAGTCCCAGGAAACAAATCTGCATCCTTTTCTTGCAAGGAGACCGACCCTCCCTGTGAAAGGGAAGATGAACTCCTGAGAAGCTCTGAGCATTTATAAGCAACGAACTGTGGGTCAGCCTCGACCCAAGTTATTCCACTGAGGAAGGCTGAGGGCTAAGGTGACCCTCGCAACACTACCTTTCTAAAATGTTCTTCCCCTGGAGGTAGATCCTGTGAATATATCGCTCTTGTGATTGTGTTACATCCTGTGGCAAGAGGGATCTTTGTAGGCGTGATGAAGGTTAACCTTAATTAATCAGTTAACCTTGAATTAATTGAAAGGGAGGTTCCTAGGGTGAGCCAGCCCGAATCCTGTGAGCCTTTAGAGCTGGCTCCAGAGAAAGCAAAGAACCATGTGTCAGCTGCCCCTGGGACCCACATGGCAGAGAACCAGCTGGGAAATGGGGACCTTAGTACTACAATCTCAAGATAAAGAATTCCACTGAGCCCTAACTGGTTTGACTCAGTGGTAGACCATTGGTCTGTGGACTGAAAGGTCCCAGGTTCGATTCCAGTCAGGGGCATGTACCTTGTTTGCGGGCACATCCCCAGTAGGAGGTGCGCAAGAGGCAGTTTATCGATGTTTCTCTCTCATCAATATTTCTAACTATCTATCCCTCTTCCTTCCTCTCTGTGAAAAATCAATAATATATATATATAAAGAATTCTGGTGACAACCAGGGAGCCTGGAGGAGGAGCCACGAGCAGCCTCGCCCACCCCTGAGCCAGGTGGCACCTGAACAGACCATTCAGCTTTTCTGTGTCTGCACTTCTCACTCTTAAAGACGGTGCTGCAATACATTTCTATGGTTTCAAGCTTTTAAATGTGTGACAATTTGTTCTACAGCAATAGACACTGCACATACACCAACAACGGTGTAAGTTAGCATTTCTCATGCACTCGCCAAAAAAGGGTGAGGGAGGCAGTGCTCATGGTGCTCACAGGATAAGACCCATGTGCCAGGTGAATGCATGGACACACAAACAAAAGAGCGAATTCGAGGCTGGGAGGCAGGCAGGTAAACTGAGTCAGCGAGAATAAGCTGAACTTCTACAGCCTTCCCATCCTTCTATCTGGACACATGATGCCCATGATGCCCATCACCCCCTGTGCATGGGCATGGGGAAGACAAAGCATAATTCCAGGACCAAGTCTGGGGCCAGGGGTGCTTTCTTTGGCCTTAAAATGTCCAAGGTCAGCCACAGACGTCTGGACCAGCAGCTTTAGCATGTGGGTTTCCGGAATTGAGGAGAGAGCTCTGGGCACCCCCAGGGGCCAGCTGTGAGGGGGAGGGGGGCACTCACCTGAAGGTGAAGAGTGTCCCCATGTCCAGCATCGACAGCAGCTCCGCCTTGGACTTGGGGAAGGAGAGCCGGTAGCGCAGCGTCTCGAACGCGGGGACGATCATCGCTTTCTTGGTGTTGGCGAGGTCCAGCTGGATGACAGACTTCCTGCAGAGAGAGGGCGGGAGGCGGGCGGCTCAGGGAGGTGCAGGAGAGAAAGCCCCCGTCAGCCTCGGGGTTTACATCTGGAGAAACCGAGGCCCTTGGAGGCCAGGCAGCTGGCCAGATCCTCCCTGGAGTCCAGACTAGAACTGTGGTCTCCGAGCCGGAAAGCGGAGTCTCCCCGGAGAGTGAGTGGAGGGCAGGGCAGGCCATGCCCACTTCCCAGTGCACGGCCTGCCAGAGCCACGTGGAGCAGGCACGTCTCCAAGGCCGCACAGGGCTCGAGCCCAGCAGTTGGGTGCCCTGGGCTGGCCATGCAGGAGCAGCTGGGCATAAGATGATGACACAATGACCAATGTGGGCAGTTGAGTCTGCTCTCTGTGACCCCTCAATCCTTCAAACCCTCCAGACCCTGAGCTTGGAATCTAGAGCGACCCACCCCATGCAGCCTGCACCCAGGACTACTGGAACCCACATGCCGGAGGGCGGACAGTCTCCATCCTCTCACTCACTTCTGGCCGAGCCTGGCCTGCTCTGCTCCTTCCAGGCCCCTCCTCTCTCTCCTGGGTGTGCCTGCCAGCTCCCTGCTCTGTGGCTGCCACTTGGGAAGGGAGAAAGTTCTAGAGAGAGGCCCACAGAGCACGAGGGCTGTAATAAACACGGACAGAACCTGAATCCTGGCTCTGCCGCTTTACGGGCAAGTGATTTAGCTTCTCACTACCTCAGGTTCCCTTTCCCTGAAACAGGGCAATTCCATCCCCTTCCTGGCGCTGCTGTGGGGTCTGAACAAGGTCACCGTCACGTACGTACTGTCTGGTTTATGGCAGACTGTGGTCACTCTGTCCTGCAGTGCTGCCACTGGTCCCAGCTCTGTCTCTCAGGATCTCTTTGGGCCATGGCCGTGGTACTCTATTCTGCCCTCCCACTCAGACCCCTGATCCCTGGACTCCAGGCCGGCTTGGCTGGCTGCATGTAATCTCCGACCACACAGTGGCTGACCCCTACCGTGGTTAACTGTATATGTCAACTGGGCTAGGCTCTGGCGCCCAGCTGTCTGGCCAAACATTGCTGGGAGGTATGTTGTGGATGGAATTACCGTTTACAATTAGTTGACTTTAAGGGATGGCCCTGACCCTTAGTAATGGGGTGGACCTCATTCAATCAATTGCAGGCCTTAAGAGCAAAAACCGTGTTTCCCATTTTGTCTCAGGATGGTAACATAAGAATCCTGCCTGAGTTTCCAGCCTGTCCTATGGATTTCAGACCTGCCCATCCTCAGAATTCCTTAAAATCTCCCCCCTCTCCCCTCCATTCATCCTATTGGTCTATTTCTCTGAAGAATCCAGATTGATGATATATCCTGCTTCTTGTCCAAGTAGTCACAAACTCACAACAATTTTGGACCGAATACTCTTAAAAAATCTTTGTCATCTGCTGAAGTAATTCAGAACATGCTGGGATAAAGGACGGCAGGGCAAATACAAGTGATTGGGAACCAGCCAGCACAGGTTCAAATGGTGCCCACCATGCTGTGACGACCGTGGGCACCAGGCTCGACTTCTCCTGGTCACAAGTCCCTGGTCTGTGAAGGGAATAGGATTTGATCTGTTCATGCTTTATCTCCTATCAACCAGGGCTGCTGTGGGATGAAATGACAATCCCTCGAGAGCCTGGCCGTGCCTTGCTTAGAATAACTCATCAACAATCGAGCCCTCGCCCCTTCCCAGCTCGGCTTTTTGGTAGGCTGGTTGCAAGAAAATGTGCCTGCATGTATGCATGTGTGTACTTGTATGCATGTGTATGCATGTGCCTGTATGTGTGCACGTCTGTGTGTGTGTGTGTGTGTGTGTGTGTGTGTGTGACATTTAGGGAGGCTGTGAGGAGTCCCATTCCCCCAGCGTCCCCCCCACTCCTCCTCCCCCACCTAAGCTGCCTCGCCGTAGAAGTATAGACGTAAGCAGGTTTTCACCCAGAGCTTGGAGGTCATGTGACCAAGGCCTCTGAGGCCTCTGCCACCTCCTCGGGCAGAGGAAGGCGGCAGCAGAACGAGGCGCCCGCCCAGCAAGTCCTTCCTCAGACACATCCCTGAACGAGGGCCAGGGAGCAGGGTTCCCTCGGATTCCATTCCAGCTGCCCAGGAAGGAGTCCTGATGGACAGGCCCAGGGTGTGTGGGGACATCAGCCAGGCCTTGTGAATGAGAGAACAAGGCTGTCCACCGGAAACACATGCAGAACGGGTGAGATTGGAGAGGGCAGAGCCCAGCGGGGTCCTGCTCCTGCCTCGATGGCGTGAACCCCTCCAGGCAGAGCCTGCCAGTCAGGGAGGGTGGGAAGGAGAGATGGTGGGCAGGAAAAAAGAGCCATAGCGCACGGTGCCACGCTCTGTGCTGGGGACTCTCTTCACTGCCTTCTGTATTACCAACATTGCCCCTGTTTCATGACCCTGCTGCCCCGTGTTCACGGCCAGGGGCTGAGGCAGAGCTTTGGGGAGCTGCCTCTTTGTGGGTACTCCGTGTTGTGGGCCTCGGGCAGCCAGAGCTCCTCAGTAAGGAAGGTGGCTCGGGGGGGGGGGGGGGCAGACACAGCCCAGAGTCAGGTCCTCCTGGACACTCCCCAGTGGCATGAGGGGCAGGCGACCCCTCTGTGCCACGGCTCTCTCCTCGGGGTCGGGAACAGTGCTTGTGCCTGGACTGCAGGTTTTGTGAGGATTAAGTGGATTGTCTCACGGGATGGGAGGGGGGGACTGAGGCAGTCTCTAATGCATAGAACGCACTTGGTAAAGCCCATCTGTGATGACGACATGGCCGTCATGGGGAGGACGGAGATGGGCCCACCAGGCAGCTGGGTGGTTAGAAGGGCAATGGGACCCTCTGGATAAACCCGGGGAAGTGAGGTGTCCACTTAGCCATGCTGTGTCTGTGGGCAGGGTCCTTAAGCTAACCCTCCTCCTCTGCAAAGTGAACTATGAGGTGCAATGACCACATTCGGTGACAGTGCCTGCAACAGCACCTGGCACTCAGTGAGTGCTCATAAACATTAGGAGGTACGTACAGGGGGATTAAGACACTGAACTAACCTAAGGAAATGCCACCTGCATGGCAGGCAGCCAGCCAGCAGGCCGTGCTCGGTGCTACTCCGGCCAGCCTCGCTCAGATTCCTGTGCTCATTCAACAAGGATTCGCAGAGCACCGTGCCGGGCTGGGGACACGGGCCGGGAATGGGAACAGAGTCGCTCCCGTACAGGTCAGAACAGAGGGTCCCTAACCTCTCTCGCCTTCTTCCCCTGGAAAGTCAGGGCAACGTCTGTGAAGCACGGCAGGCCCTGAACAGGGATGAGGATTCTGCATGGTGAGGGCAGGAGGCGAGAAAGCTACCCTGGGCCCTGAGGGGATGAGGGTGGGGTGGGGATTGGGGGAGGGGGACAGTTGTGGGCTTCCCACCCACAATCCCTTTGTTATTCAGGGTCATTCTAGACATGTCATGCTGGAACCCCACCACCTGTCCGCAAGGCTTTCCCTGCCCACGGCCCAGGACGCTGGGTCACCTGCTGGGAGTCTGAGCCCCTGGATCCTTTCTTTATCTGTGTCTGTACTGATGGCAAGAATAGCAGCCCAATGCTTCCAGTTGGAGCGCCCCCTAGAATGTGAGCCCTGAGTGCAGGAATCCCCAGAGCCTGGAATAGAGCTGCTAACCACACACACACACACACACACACACACACACACACACACACACTATGTATATTCCTGGAATAGAGAATGCCCAGGCCTGTGGTATGTGTTCTCCACATGCTAGGACATTTCCTCTCCCTGGGATCTCCAAGAGGGAGTGAGATGATCCCCGTTTCCCAGAGGAAGAAGGTGAGAGAGGTTAGGGACCCTGGCCAAGGTCAAGCAGGTGCTGGGTAAGCAGTAGCAGCAGTAAATGCAGGTCTGAGTGACTCAGCACTGTCATGGGCACAGTCAGGGCTTACTAAATATTTTCCTGAATGAACAAACAGGAGCATATAGTTTCTTGTTTTTTAACAAAGAAACGGAGATGGGCATATGGAGCTACCCCGGCTGCACTGGTGGTAGCTTGATTGGGGTTGGGGGCCTGAGTTGGATCCCGAGTGCTGGGAGAGGCCCAGGGACAGAAAACTCACCCGTGGTGAGCACCTGCTACATCCCCCAGAGGTTATCCTCGCCCCTTTATTAATCGAGTAAACAGAGAGTTGGGGAGATGAAACTGCCTCAAGTCACACACTGGATACATGTGCCCGAACCTGAACTCAAATGCAGGTCAGCCGCGGCCCTGCCAGATTCCAAGTGACATTTCAGAAACCAAGGCTAACAGTGGCACGTCTTTCTCCAGAAGAAAAGGTGAAGGGGCAGGAGAGAGATGCCAGTGACACTCTGTGGCTATGTCCCTGCATCTGACTGCCTTCATTATTTTCCAATGGATCTGTTTGTTTTTCGTTGTTGTTGTACTATTAGCTGGTTGCCAAGCAACGGCTTAGGGAGCTATGATGCTGAACTTTTTGGTACCCAAGTAGGCCCCCTGCAAAAGGGTGATGTACGTGTTTGGGGGTCCAATGAGAGGGCTGCATATCAGCCATCCCTATATCCTGGGATTTCAGAGTGACGTGGACCCTCCCATCATGGGCAGCTGTCACAGAGGGCATGCCACCTGCCTCCCGGACACAAGTCCACCTCTCTGGGGCCTCAGTCTGGTCACCTGTGATAACACTGACCACATAAGCAGGTGTGTAGAACAGAGAACATACATGAAGCAGCCGGCAGGGCTGCTGGCACATGATCAGGGCTCAATACATTATGACTATTATTTTAACATTAATATTTCCACAGTGTTTGGGCAGAGCATTGTGTTGCATACCCACATGGGGAAGTCAGTCTCTAGGGGCTTCCTCTGGCCTCGCTGGAGTGCACGACCTCCTCAGCAAACAGTGTCCTCAACCTCACCCCAAACCAATGCTCCCAGGCCGGTCACGAAGTACAGCTTTCAGCGTTTGCATCAGGAATGAATCCATCCCACTCAATGGACATTTTTTTCCTTAAACCAACGGCAAGTCAATACATTTATCTTCTCCTGAGAAGGACATTGTGTGCTTATTTGGGGCCTCTGATAGAATAACATTCCTTCCCGATTCTCAAAAGTCTGTTGCCAACGAATCCTTTAGGTCAGAGATCAACCCTGGTAGTGGGAGGTACATTCAGCCTGAAGATAGGTCAGTCTCGCTCAACAATATGCCTTTTTAAAGAAGCAGTTGTCAATATTAAAAATTAATACATGAAAATCCACATTTCTAGCTCCTCTCAAACACCATGCAGGCCTTGGCCCTGCTCTCCTCCCCTGTCCCCATCTCTCCTGCCCCACCCCCATCCCACGACAATAACTCCACAATGAAAGTGGACAGACACCAGCCATCTGAGATGGGGGCCCATGAAGACAGGAGTGGAGTTTTAGATGCACTGGGCCATATATCAGAACCCCTGAACCACAGGCACCGTGACCCGGAGGCCAAGGCCACCGACAACGCCAGGCGACTCTGCGTGAAGTAAACGTTACTTAGTGGGCACTCTGGGCACCTCCCACTGAGCACGGTCTCTATCAGTGTTTAGCAATGTCTTCGATCAACACAACACTGGACGGCCACATACAAACGCACAGCTCACGTGTGATGTCTTTCAGAATATGATGCCATGAGGCAAAGTACTAAAACAGTGCCTGGACGGGGAGAGCAGAGAACGCAGGTTTTTAAGATAGGGCCCTTCTGCCGAAACCGGTTTGGCTCAGCGGTAGAGCATCGGTCTGCGGACTGAAAGGTCCCAGGTATGATTCCGGTCAAGGGCATGTACCTTGGTTGCGGGCACATCCCCAGTATGGGGTGTGCAAGAGGCAGCTGGTCGATGTTTCTCTCTCATCGACGTTTCTAGCTCTCTATCTCTCTCTCCCTTCCTCTCTGTAAAAAAAAAAAAAAAAAAAAAAAAAAAAAAATATATATATATATATATATATATATATATATATATATATATATATATATATATATATATATATATATAAAGTTAGGGCCCTTCTTCCCGGGGAGCCCCAGAAGGGTGGGGGATGGGCTGTGGTCCTGAAGCCTCTCTCTTCCTGGTTCCCAGGGTCTGGTCCTTTGGGAGCCCTGCCTGCCTCCCAGCTGCAGGATCCACAGAAACCGGGGCTGAAGCTCTGTCTGGCCACACGGGGGCGCCCTCACTCCACACACTGGGATTCCAGGCCCGGCTGGAGCAGCACAGCACCATTCCCAGTGCCCCCCAGAGTGAGGAGTTGGGGTTCAGGGCTCTGGACCAGGGCGCATGCTCCTAGGGAAGATGCTGCTCTTCCTCCTGGAAGGAGGGCCATGCTGCCCCGAGGTCGCCCACGCTGCATTCTTAATGGAGAGGCTGGAAGGGGGTTCCTCCTGCTCAAGGGGAGGGACTGGAGCTCTGAACCCCAAGACAGCCTGGAAGCAAACTCAGAGCGGAAAGAGAACCCTCTGACTTATAGAGAGCAGGACAGGAGGGCCTGCATCTCCCACATGCCAGCCTCACTGCAAACGGTTTCAACTCTTTTAAAGAGTGACAGATACAGGAAGGCAGAGAGACTGAGACACACAGAGGGAGACAGACACTCACATACACACACAGAGAAAGGGAGGGTAAGAGAGAGCTCAGCTCCGGCTCCACCTGGGATAGCCTGGGACCCCAGTACGCCAGCCAGGTACCAACACAGGGCAGGCAGCCTGCAGACTTGGAGGCCAGCAGATGTGGGTTCAAGTCCCAGAGCCGCTGTGTGGATGACTAGCTTCCCCGAGCCTCACCGTTCCAGTGGTATAGGGCGGGGTGGGGGGAAGAGGGATCTCGCCACGCCTGCCTTTTGGACATGAGGTATGGATCCAGCGGGTAATTAACATGTGCAAACACCTCTTGTGGTACCTGGGCCCAGGCAGGCCCTCACCCGGTAGCGGAGATAATTCACTGACAAATGACAGTGATAAAAAACTCCAATGTTTGACCATCTACACCTTGTGAGCTTAGCTTTCTCACGGGGGGACTGCAGGGCTGAATGGAGTCTACAGTCCCTTCAGTTCAGATTACTATTCCTAATAAATGTTGCTCCCCACACGGCCACCCACGCCTTTCATGAGCTCAGCTGCTCCAACCGCCATGCCTGACCCCCCCACCCCATGCGGGGTGCGGGGGAAGGCTCCCTGGGGAGGCAGAGAGGCAGCCGTGGAGGTGAGCGAGCTCAGGGTCCAGAGTCAGATGCTCCCCCCCCACCCCCGCCCCACTCGGCCATCTCTTCCTTGCTAAGGCCCGGCCCCTGCATTGCCTGGTGCAGAACCCCGAACTAACAGCCTCCATCTCACTCCCGCGGTCTCCCATTGGGAAGATGAAGATAATGAGAGTTAGAACCCATGGCAGGCACCGAAGGGGAGAGGGGACAAAACCCTGCGTGTCAATCACTCACAACAGTGCCAGCCTCTCAGCAAGGACCCCACGAGGGGTTAGCCATCAGCATGATGTTGATTCCTTTGACAGACAAGGCCATGACCTGACCCCCCCCCCCAAAAAAAAAAAAAAAACCGGGTGAGGAATGGGGTTTTCACAGGAGTTAGAGAAAGAAGGTTAAACTGGGGGGCAAAAGAGATGCTTCTGAGACCACGTTCTGCCTCTGACATTTCAGGAAGCAAACTGGGCCTTCCTTCCCATTGGTTCGCCATGAAAAGGAGGTACCCAGGGGTACCCGGGGGGTGGGTGTGGTCCAGGGCCCTCACCTGAGGTACTCATAGAGCCCGTACATGGGCAGGAAGTCGATGTCGGACAGGAACATGTAGGGCGTGCCCACATGCTTCATGGCTACATTGCGCAGCAGGTTCACGGGGTAGAACTGGCCCTCCTTGTACACGATGTGATAGGCCACGTTGTGACGGCTCATGAGCACCTCGGAGCCCTGTGCGTAGCGAAGGAACTGCTGGGCCTCGGCGTCCGACAGGTAGAGGGCCAGGCTGATGGGCCCCTCCCAGTGCTTGCAGATGGCCTCCAGCATCTGGAGCCTGTGAGAGAAGATAGGAAGGTGAGCCGTGGAGACTTGGCCCCATCCACACATCCTCCATCCGCTGTGCTGGGGGGCTCTGCCTCCTCCACGGGCATTTGGCCAACCAGCCTGAGCCCTCCACAGTGTGACGGGGGGCAAATCACCAAACCTCAGCTCCTTTGTCTACCAATTGGGCTTAAGACCACTTGCCTGGCTGGCTCTGGTGTTTGCTTCTGATCGAGTGAGTGACATTGAGAAAGTCACATCCCAAAATACGCCTTTTCTTTTCAACAGGGTGGTGAAGATGATATTAAACGATTTAAAGATCCCCGTCCAGCTCAAAACTGCTATCCTTCTCCTCCTCTCTCAGAATAGATACAGAACTCTGCTGAGTTCCTGAGGCAGTGACCAGCCACAGAAGACCAAACCCAGACCGTGAGTTACAAGGAGTGTTAAAACAAGCGGTAAACGCAAGAGTCATATTAACTGAGATTATCTGACTCATGGCCATAACCCAGACACTCGCCAGAATTCCCCCAACAGCCCTGTGCGCCTTCTCCCCATTCTCCTGATGAAGAAATGGAGGCTCCAGGGGTCCATTTGATACCACTGTAGTTAGCTAATTATTAATCACAGAAAAGGAGCAAAGAGAGGCCAGACATTATAGCATGGCCATTTGGGCAGCTTCACCAGGAAGATGCAATTTCACACTCCCTGGGGAGAGAGACACAGGCACAGTGAAGCTGGGGTGACATAGCAACAGTGCCTGTCAGTCAACCCTGAGAACAGAAATCATTGGCTAGAGGGGCGGGGCTGATGCAAGCCTGGGAAAACTAGGGAAGATATAATTCCCTACGCCAGTGTTTCCCAAACTTTTGACATGTGTACCCCTTATATAATTCCTGTTACACTGAGTACCCCTCGTACTCATGAGAATGTAGAATTAGGCGCAGCTAAGCATGGTGCAATGCATATCCCCACCAAACTCTTCCCGTACCCCTGGGGGTACGCATACCACACTTTGGGAAACACTGCCCTACACAGAGGAGCTTTCTAGCTCTTGGCTCTCTGGTTCCTTTGGTTTTGCTCTGGTTCCCTTGCATTTGCCGTGTTCCCTCCATGACCACATGGCTATGGGGACGCCACATGCTAATGAGCTGCAGCAGGAACACAAACTAAGCCAGCCTGATGCTGGACTGGACACTGCTCCAACATGGAGTGGAAGCTCTGGACACAGGCTCTGACCTTAGCCACGCCGAAACCCAGCTACACTTCTTCCATGGTGGGATAAGGGGAAACTCAGGAGTGCAATTCCACAGAAATAAAGCTTTCTATTATACATATCCCATCCTCCTGTGGGGGCCTCCTGAAATTCTTATTCCAGTGGCACCCCAAGAACCCTACTCTCACCAATAACAAAGTCAACTTTGATTCTTGGGCTCGGAGCAGACATGTGTAGACAGGGCCTTGGGGACAGATGAGAAGAAAATAATATCGGGTATTGGGTGAAGTGAATGGAAAACCACGTGAATGTAGGGGACAAAAGTGTGCCGGCTCAGTGAATAGAGCATCAGCCTGTGGACTGAAGGGTCCTGGGTTCAATTCCAGTCAAGGGCACATGCCCAGGTTGTGGGCTTGATCCCCAGTAGGAGATCCATGATTTTCTCTCATCATTGATGTTTCTCCCTCTCTCTCCCTTTCCCTTCCTCTCTGAAATCAATCCTATAGAATAAAAACCTAATATGCAAATCGACCAAACGGCAGAACAACCAGTCACTATGATGCACACTGACCACCAAGGAGCAGACGTTCAATGTAGGAGCTGCCCCCTGGTGGTCAGTGAGCTCATATAGGGGGAGCACTGCTCAGCCAGAAGCTGGGCTCACAGCTGGCGAGTACAGCGGCAGCACAAAGAAACTGGGCTCACAGCTGGCTCCCACCTCTGCAGCAGCACAAAGAAACAGCGAGCTGAGTGGTAAGGAGCAGTTAGCAGGTGGGTAGTATGGAGCAAGGGGTCCCGGACTGGGAGAGGGATAGCAGACTGCTAGCTTAGGCCCGCTCCCCTAAGCTGGCAGGTGGACATCCCCAGAGGGGTCCCAGATTGCAAAAGAGAGCAGGCTTGGCTGAGCACTCCCCAGAGCAAATTTTGTGCACTGGGCCTCATATATATATATATATATATATATATATATATATATATATATGTGTGTGTGTGTGTGTGTGTGTATTTTTTAATACATATATTTTATATATATTTGTGTGTGTGTTTTTTTAAAGTGTGCCTGGGGGGATGCCTCTTCCACCTTCACTTTCCAGAGCCCATATTGTGCCAGGGCCACAGCCATTTGCAAGGCTCCCTGAGAAGACCAGCCAAGGAGAACTGGGGAAGAACAGAGCCCAAAGAGAGAGTGCTGTGAAAACGAAGATAAATCTATAAGGATAGTTTTTTGTTCTTTTTCAAGGCAGTAGAAGTGCCTGCTACACAAAATCCATGGTTAGGAAAAAGCAAAGCCTATTGTGCTTTTTTCCCCTACCCAGCAAGAGGTACCTAATCAGCGGGTCTCCTGGTCAGAATGCCCACTTCAGCTGGACAATTACCAGGAAATAGATTCCATGCATTTGCATTTCTATGCTACTAAACAAAAGAAAGCAGGCACCCCTATCCTGTGCCCACGGCTTTCTGAGCATCCTCTCTTATTCTGTGGGATTTGCTTCCACTTGCTCTTTGGAGGATTAAGATATTCATGGGGTAGGAGGTTCTCCGTTTCTCATACATTGTGACACTTGCTAATCGAATTGGCTGGAGCCGGGTATTGGAGGCATTACATTCTCCACGAAGCCTGATCTCCGATGGGTGCATGCGGACTCTGGGGTTTGCACGACCCCACAACCCAGTGTCATCTTCTGCAAAAGACTCTGCATGTCTTTTGAAATGTGGCGAGTCAAGGGCAAGGGTCACTTGTAATCTGAGGACAGAAGAGCTGCTGGAAGGAGGTGGAGGTGGGAGGCACGCGTGGTCGTGAGGAAGCCCGCCAGCTTCTCCCGTGGATTCGCCCACTGGCTCGGTTTTTGTCTCTCTGTGTCTGGGAGCCCCGCCCAAGAGCAGCTCACTCTGGCTGCTAAAGAATTACCTCGTGCTCTCCAATGGGACGAGGCTTTTTACAGTACATTCCCAGGCCCCCAGAATCTGTATTTCCAACAAGCACCTGTGTGATGCCGTGTGGCCAGGCCCTTCGGAGTCACACAGCTCTGGATGACGGAACCTGTTAGCTCAAATACTGTTCTCTCTTTTCCAGAGGCCTCTCTTCAGAGGCCGAAATCAGAGGAGGAGAGAGAACATCAGTTATTTAGCAATGCTGTCAAAGGGACAGGAAAGAGAAGGTGTCTCCTGGGCCAGCATGTGGTGATTAAGATGGATCCCTGTCCTCAGCAGTCCTGTCAGCCTCCAGGATGGGAGGGAGGTCCCCGGAACAGACCTTCCAGCACCATAGGGCCTTCACTCTTCCTGAAGGGACTGCCGGAGGGAGCCGGCTCGGGAGCTGGCAGTCCCCAGTTCCACGTGGCATTCACACAGGGCCTACTTCTGACTCGAAGGTTTACAGACACACCCGAAATGCTTCCTAAATTAAAAATCGATCCAACGGGCACCAGCCAGCCTGCTGCATCATACCCGGATGTGCAGGATGAAGAGAAAGGGGAATTCTATGTCCTCATTGGCTGTGGCACTGCATAGTAATTTTTGCTTGTGTCCTGCTCAGCGTCTCCCCTTAGGGCGTGGGGTTCCGGGGGTCTCTGAAGTGTCTCAGGATGACAGTACTTGTCATGACACATTAGGGGGATCATGGGTCATCCACGCAGGAGGGGATGTGTGTGGTCTGAAGGGAAGGCCTCTGGGTCAGTGTTTGAGATCACACAGCTGGTCAAGGCCGGTTGACCTGGTGCTGAATCTCTGTGCTTTTCATATTCCTCTCTGTCTCACGTTGTCTTTGCCTGTTGCCTGTTAAGGTCGGTAAGTTCTCTGTGCTTGTGCACGGGGCCCTAGAGGCTGGTGAGTCTCCAGGAAACCACGAGACACAGAACCAAGAGCCAAAGAAGCCGTTTAGTGCCACGAGCAGTCATTGCTAACACGCAGTAGGTACCAGAAAGCAAGGATTCCGCTTCCCCCTGGATCTTTCAGCCTCACTCAGCACAAATCCCTCCCAGATGCATTCAGATGCAAGGCCCACCGACTCCCCAGAATCCTCGGATGACTTTGGGTACTTCTCACATCCCAGCGCTGGCTCTTTCCTGTTTGCGTGTTCTTCCATCATTCGTGACTAATAACAGCTGACATTTATTGAACACTTAAGCTTGCCAGGAGCTGCTCTCAGCACCTTTCAGGAATGAACTCAGTGGCTCCTGAGAAGGGCCCGTGGAATCGCATCCACAGGAGGGACAGGCATCTCTGAGGTGCCGCGGGGACAGAATGAGCCAACCTGCTTTCCTAAGTGTGGGAGCTGAGGAGGGATGACAGGAAGGAAGCTGGGGCAAGGGTAGCCACTATGGGCCAGGAGTAAATCAAAGAGGAAGTTGGTGAGGGTGGTGGGAGGGGGCCCCCAGGACACCTAGGTATAGAAAAGTCGGGCCCTGAGGGAGTGGCCTTGGGGCCTTGCAATCACTCACATCCAGAGAGATGTCCTAAAAAAAACTCATGTTAGATCACACAACTTTGTGCACAATTCTTAAACAACTGTCAACACATTTAGAATGAAGTCCCAGTATTTTGTGAGTTTCCATGTTCTATCGCCTCCATCTCAGGCCCTTATAGAGAGCCTCCTGGGAAGGCACATGGGCATTTCTTTAAATTGTTGTCAGTTGAGTCCGAGAGACTGGCAGAGCCGCATCTTGGACACACACTCCCCAAGATGGCGGAGAGTGTAATCAGCTTGGCCTTCATAACAGCCCAGGTGTCTGGCAGGGCAGGTCTAGATATGTAAATCCAGTCAAGCACCAGGAATGCTAGGGCCTGCTCCTTTGATCCTAAGTTTTGGTGTTACTTGCTGGTATTGGGGGTATAAAATAAATGTGCTGCGTGGGCTGAGTTGTCATCATGCTTCTCCATCAGAGAGAATGGCATCCCACCTGGTTCCCAGCTTGCTTCTATTTCTGCGTCTTTCTTTCTTTTTCTCCCTCTCTTTCTTTCCCTCCCTCCCTCTCTCCCTCCCTCCCTCCCTCCCTCCCTCCCTCCCTCCCTCCCTCCCTCCCTCCCTCCCTCCCTTCCTTCCTTCCTTCCTTCCATTTCTCAATCACTGCCTGCCTCCACTTAGAACCAGTTCATTCATCTCTCTTTCTGTGCTGGTCACAGAAAAGGGAGATCCCCGTCATATCTGGCCCCCAAAGACCCTTACCCCCCAGGAGCCTGCTCCCCAGGTCCTTCAAAGCACTTACCATAACTTCATGGAGCTGTTCATTGTTGTTTACACACTAGCCCCCTGTTCTAGACTCTGGCTGCACATGGCAAACTTAGAACAGTGCCAGGTCTCCACCCCACAGAGTCCTACTTCACTGGCCTGCATGGAGCCTGGACATGAATTTGTCTTAAAAGCTCCCCAGTTGATGCAGACTGTCCCCACCAAGACCGAGAACCAGAGCATCAGACGGTGGGCCACTAAGAGTAGGAGCCACGTTGGTCCTGCCTGTTAAAGGCTCAGTGGATCGATCCATGTAGATAGAGACACTGCTTCCCAGCGGTGACTGTGGTCCAGTCTATTTGTTTCCCTTCTCTCCTTCCTCAAAATCGCCACCGTCACCAAAAGACAAGAGCCCTTGGCTTTCTGTGCTGAGAGGGGGTGGGACGCAAGACTACCATACCAGGTCCCAATAGCCTCAGCTCCCAAGGCCACCCCTCCCTTCTCACTGTGACCAGGTGAAGGGCCATGCAGAGGGGCCCTACCTGTCCATGGAGAGCTGTGCGACCAGGGTGACGTCCGTGTTGTCTGTGGCCGGCTCATACTCGTAGTGCAGGAAGTACAGGTGGGTCCGGTGGACGGTGAAGCGCTCTCGCCGGAACTCGTAACACAGGTCGTCCTCATCCAGCTCCGAGAGCTGCTTCTGGAGCTGTGAGGCGGGAGAGGGGCGTGGCGATGAGAAAGAAAGGCTAAGGGGGCCAGGAGCCCACCCGTAGGCCCTGTCCTCCCCCGAGTCTGTCACACTGGACATCGCTGATGGTCAAACACAAGACAAGATCGCTGTATCCATTTCCCTGTGCGAATCACTCTGTTTTCAAAACAGGGACTGCGAAGGGCAGCTCAGCCTCTGAGAAGGGAGATGGCTCTGAGCTCAGCCTCTGAGAATGGTGGTGATCAGGGACAAATGGATATAAGCAAACACTCTTTCCCTGGCTGACCTAGCACAACATCTTCAAACATCAGGGGGAAATTGTCACAGAAAAGTGAGGAGCCAAGTGAGCAGTGCCTTTGTGTGAGCCGATGCCTTTCTCTCCTGGAGCCACAGGCTCTGGTCTTTGCACCAGGAGAGCCAAACCAAACCAAAGCCCTTTCCTTCAAAGTCATCCAGGTTGAGTCCCAACCCAGCACCCAGCCTCTCTTTCCCCCTCAGAACCTCTCGCTCATGAACCTGCCTGGAGAGCTTCTCTGCCCAGCTCCTCGCTGCTCCTTCCTGCCCAAGGAGCCAAAGAGCAAGCTGACAGGGATGGAGGGCTCAGCCGCAGACATAGCAGATGCAGATCCATGGACGCCCAGACCTGCTGGCTCAGATGCCCATATATTCCCGCCACCTGCAAATCCCACCCTCCCCCTCCCAGGCAGGCGTCACTGTGCCCGTGTGTAGGTGAAGAAGTGCGGGGGGGGGGGGGGGGTGGGAGGGGAAGGAGAGGGAGTGAAAGAACTCCGACAGTGATCGGTGTGAGACCAGTGGGTGTGGGCACGGAGTAAGAGGACGGGGAAGAGGCAGGAGAGAGGCTCATCGGCTGATGGAAATGTATGTGTCATGATTACACGTGTGTATACTTGGTGAGGATATGACACACCGTACACTTAGAATGCAGGTTTGTCACATGCAAACTGTATTTGAAAACTGATTTTTAAACACGAAAGATTTTGGTGAAAGTCAACACAGCTGGTTCCGACATTATTTCTGTTGCACCAGCCTTGTCCATCACATGAGGACATGGAGTAGAATACGGGCTAAAATGTACCTGGCTAAAGCAGTGGTTGGCAAACTCATTAGCCAACAGAGCCAAATATCAACAGTACAATGACTTAAATTTCTCTTGAGAGCCAATTTTTTAAAATTTAAGCTTCTTCTAACGCCACTTCTTCAAAATGGACTTGCCCAGGCTGTGGTATTTTGTGGAAGAGCCACACTCAAGGGGCCAAAGAGCCACATGTGGCTCGTGAGCCGCAGTTTGCCGATCACTGGGCCAGAGAGACTGACCTGGCTGAAAGTAATGGGGCACTTTTCCAAGAAGAAATAAAAAATCTCCAAACCAATAAATAGTGCAGTCGTCAACGAGAAAATATGCTAACTCGCTCCTGTAAAGCCTAGTGCCAGTGGAGACCATCATTGCTTGATGGATGAAGCGCTGGCGTTATTTCTCAAGACGTGAGCTGTGCGGAGGATTCCACTCACTGCACTGTTCTCCCTTCCTCCCACCCTCCCCGCTGCCCGTGACTCCCAGTAGCTCCACTTCCCTCACACCTGGATCCGGGCTGCACTTCTGATTTGCTTTGGCGGATGACCGAATGGCGGGGAAGCCATGCTGCCCAGTCCTGAGGGGGGCCTTAAAGGAAGTCCACGGTTATGCAGCTCCACCCCTGCCGTGAGGAGGTGCTGGGCCAGCCAGCCGGAGGGTGAACCACAGTCTCCCCAAGTGCCCCAGATGAGGGAGTGAGCCCAGGGGCGAGTCCAGTCCGGATCAGCAGAGCTGCCTCAGTGAACACGTCCTATACGCACGGAGGTTTTACAGGTTGGAGCAATGGACAAATGACCGGGGGTTGGGTGGATGAGGAGCCACTGGCACTCTGTGAGGTACTTTTCAGTATGTGAGCCCATCCCCGTAGCAGGAACAGCGGCCTCTCGGGCCTCAGCCCACTCAGTGCGCATAGCATTCTCCAGAAGGCACCCACACATCCTCCAATGGTGCTGGGGTCACTGAGGTCCAGGGACGTATGACAATCTCAGCTGTCAGACTCTCCAATGGCTCAGAGGATGCAATCAGGATGCTCGTTAGCTCTTCGAGTGCCATTCCATGCCCTTGCCTGTCTGAAGCCTGCAGCTCTACCAACAGCGTGAGACCGATCCCATGAGCCGAGGAACCTGTTCTGAGCTGCAGGGTAAGACCCTCATTCTCACTGACAATTTTCTTCTTTAAAAAAAAAAAGTATATATATATATATTTTTTTAATTGATTTTTTACAGAGAGGTAGGGAGAGGGATAGAGAGTTAGAAACATCGATGAGAGAGAAACATCAATCAGCTGCCTCTTGCACACCCCCTACTGGAGATGTGCCTGCAACCAAGCTATATGCCCTTGATCGTTATCGAACCTGGGACCTTTCAATCCGCAGACTGATGCTCTATCCACTGAGCCAAACCGGTTAGGGCCACATTTAAAAAATATATATATATATATTTTATTGATATTTTATAGAGAGGAAGGGAGAGAGATAGAGTGCTAGAAACGTTGATGAGAGAGAAACATCAACCAGCCGCCTCCTGCACACCCCCCACCTGGGACGTGCCCGCAACCACAGTACATGCCTCAGACTGGAATCGAACCCGGGACCCCTCAGTCCGCAGACCGACGCTCTACCACTGAGCCAAACTGGTTTCAGCGAGGGCCACATTTCTTGATGAAGATCAAAAGAAGATGATCACCACATGAGAAAGAAAATGAGGGGCCAGGACACGAGGAACGCATGTGTGTATGGGCGTTTTCTTCCCTTCTGTGCACACACCCGGATCAGCGGGCACGACCTGCCAAGGAATAGGGTTCCCAGACAGTGGACTCCTAACGCAGGGGCCTCCTCATGTTAATAAAAGAACCAGTGACCAAATAAAGTGCTCCTGGGACCTAAAGTATGGCCTGCCCTGAGGGGGGGGGGAGTCTATTGATAATCCTGGGGGCTAAGTAGCCTGCATCTATGAACTTCACAGGATCAATAATGGGGTTCAGTGGCATCTATAGCCCCAGGTGCCCTATGGCCATCCCCATGCTAAGGGGTAGGGCTTAGGCGATACTCCTGTCTACCAGCCACACTAGTCTGTGGGAAGTACAGCAGGTGTGTAGTCAGACCTACAATGTCAGACTCTCCAGGACTCTGGATCCGCCAATGCCTCCCCTGAGCTTTACTGTACTTATTATCAACATGGCGAATGGCAGCTCTGCTTAGCTAATATGGACAAAGCACCTACTGTGTGCCAGGGGCAGTGCCAAGTGTGGCCAGGGCCATGGCTTTATGAATGGGCCCCTTCGGCACACATCTCTGTGCTACAGCAGGAGCAAACGGGCTCAGGAGGTTTCGGTCATCGGCCAGGGACACAGCCAGAGGAGGCAGTCTTGCTTGAGAATCCAGTCTGCAAACCAGGGCCCTTTTCATGACAGGATGACTTCTTTCTGGGGGATGGACGTGAGGGCCAAATGAGCTGGTGGAAGATTCAATGCTCGGGGAACAAAGCAGGACATAAAAATGCACACGCGGGCTGTTCCCATACGGCAAACACACCAACAACCGCAACACACACACACACACACACACACACACACACACACACACACACAGAAACAGACTTCAAAGGGATCCATCACAGTGTTAACAAAGCTCTCCCTGAGGGGTGGACTCGCAGGTGAACTTGACCGGCCTCTTTCTACTTTCCAGCATTTAACTAATTCCCTGCAATTTTCTCAAATGAGCAAACGCATGTAGAAGTGCTTTGCAAACCGCAGAGCGCTACACAGACCCAAGCAACGCGATCGTGACTCCATTATGTACCTTTTCAAATCCTAATCTAGGGCTGCTTACTGCTGACTGCTTGGCTGATGTTATCCGAGGGGAAGATGAAGATGCTTAACCACGGCCTCCTCTTCACCCAGGGTTCTCCTGGCCATTTCTCCAGGGAGATGCTGAGCCGGAGGGCGGGCTTGCATTAGCAGGACCTGAATGTTTCCACAGGTCACACCTCACGCCCCACTCAGCCACGCCACGGAGGGAGGAGGGAGCGGCAGGAGCGGGAGGCAGAGGCTCCTGACAAGCCAGTCACAGAAACAAAAGACAGATTCTCTCGAGATAAAACACATTTGCTAAATTGCTTCTTGAAGCAGCCAGCTGGGCTCCAGAGAAAACGCCCTTTAAGCAGTTTGCCTTTATTCCTTTCCATCCTGAAGGACAGTGGCCTAGACTGACCTCCGTGCCGCCAGGGCTCATGGCCGAAGGTTCGGAGGAGTTGGAAGTGTGTCCTGGGCTCTGGCTAAAAGGACTTCTGTTCAAAGTCGGGAAAACCACACAGAAAGATTATGGGGATAACCGGAAACTGAGACCGAGCCCTCGGACACTCGTTGGCTATGCCTCCTTCAGCGAGTCATTTCCCACTTCCTAGTGAGATAAGGAGTTTGAGCTTCACTCAGAGGTCACGCGCTCACAGGATCAGGTAGGTGCTGACAACTGACAACTCTGCAGGCACCGACTCATTTAATACTCACACAACCTCTAGGCAGGAGGGACCACTGTCAGTCCTGCCTTATACACGAAGACATCCGTCACCTGAAAGGTTTAGCCACTTGTTCAAGGTCATACGATGGGTGAACGGAGTGGCTGCGATATTTCCTCCAGGTGTATGCTACCGCGCCTTGATAACCTCTAGGGCTTTCCCAGTTTGAACGCTAGCTAGATGGTTCTGACTGAAGAGGAATGAACGCATGTCTCCTCCCCCACAGGGGCAGGGACCTGCCATGCTCCCTAGTATCCACATTCTCCTTTCTTCCTGGGGGCACAGCCAGGCTGTGTTTGTGACCTTCCTGCAGTTCTGGGCCAAGCTCCGGTCAGTAGTAAGCGGGCAGATCCTGGTGTTCCCGGGCAGATCCTGGTGCTCCTGGGCAC